AGCGGACATAATGCGATTCTGCCCTTTACGTCCATTGCACGTCTCAGTATCATTCTTCAGTAACTGATGTATTCAGTAATACATTGACAATCATGCCAATAGAACACGAATTATCAACTCACACATATGTTTGTTGAGAGGGACACGAGCGCTCACACTTGTGTTTTCTTTATTTATAGGCTAGACCCAGCCATGGACATGGACCTGACCATCCTGACACCTGTTAGTTGACCACATTAATAATTTTGATGTATACTAAATCACTTATGTAAGAAAGATACAGTTTATTTACTTATTTACTTATTACAAGTGCAAGCATTTATCTACCAGCGTATTAACTCGTATATATTCTATCTTTTATCTTCTCTCACCCCTACAAAAGCACCATAAAATCAAATATTTTAGATAATTGACAAAGCAAAACACTCGCCGATGATCTCGTTTACATGAAAATTTCGCATTTTATTATTTTAGATTATGACATGTGACGCCGCAAAGCTTTTGACCCCTCCTACCCCTTGTCACGTCACATTTCGTTGTCCCTCTCTTCCCCTTAACGTGTGAGGTTAATTGCCTCTTGCGGTTAATTGGGGTAAGTCCCTCTTTGTTTAATTATACCCATCGCCACAGTCTCCTTTTGCAATTTTGTTTATATTTACAAGTACAGTTAAGTAAATGGGATCCAGACTTCTTGTTTTACGTTCCATATTTTTTGTTTTCCCATCTTCTGCATCTCACCGTTGGAACGCTTTTCCCTTTTTAGCTGATATTTGACCATTAGATGAGTTCAAAATATGTATAAAGCACTTAAAAACATTACCAAGTATCTCGCAAATTTTCCGTCTATTGCAAACCACTCACTTTAATTAAAAGTCACGTCGCGTTGTGGTAATAGCGTGTGTCGGTATCGAATAAAACAAATATTTACGTATCCTCATATATGAACGTATAGTACCTTAGAGATGTAGGCAAACGTGGTGTTTAAATATCGTTGAAAAACGCCCCCTACTTTCAACAAATCATAAGTTGGGTCTGTTCAGTTTAATGGTTTACTCAAAGAAATTGCTTTTTCCATGTTTATCCCTTCAGGAAAGAAGCGACGAAATTTCATCTTATTTGTAATCAGTGCCTCACGATGACGATCCACCATTCGGTTGACGAAATGGGTAATGTTTTACTCACTCCGTTGCCGATTTCATTGAAATTAAAAAGCATGGATGCACTCAAGTACAGCGTCTTTTAGCTACAATAATAATAGCCGATAGGTTGGGGGTCTAAAAATTTTAAAGAGACAAATTATAACATGCCACAATAATTGTAAACCCGAATCTGATATCACAACTGTCGGACTTTGGTCATATTCTAACCTTAAAATCTATGAAATATTTTGAGAACTGTAGACTAAATTTAACTATATATAGTTAATTAAAATAATATATNAAATAATAATTAAATAATAAAAAAATTTTTAGAATATTTCATAAATATCACAAAATTATCCGAAATTTGAATCCTCTTCTCGTACTAGCCGCTGAAAATCAATTTCTTGCTAGGTTTTCTTGTTTGTTGTAAATTATAAGGATGCAACAACTATTCTTTCCTTCTTTGACATTTCTCACACTGTCACATGAGAAGAGCTAACGTTGCGTGATATTTTGCGTGTACTGTTTTGGGGTTGTCTTATATGAAAATCAACGATTTCATCTTCTTAGTGTTGATATAGTTCGGGCGTCGACACTCTCGATGTAATCGATTAACTAAACTATACATCAAGGCAACAACGTTAAAAGAAGAAGTACCTACTTACTTACTGCAGTTGGCTCATCATCATCATAAGGTCGTCAGTCCTAAGACTGGTTGGACACGCACCTTCACTCTTTCCTATCCTGAGCTAATCTTCGCATTTCTCCAAAACTAGAACAATCCACATCCTCAACTAACCTAACCTTAACTAACAGTAATCCAATGTAGGTCTACCTCTACCCCTCCCAACTCCCGTTTCTGCTTCTAATATGTCTCGCCTATTTCTTATTGACTTCCATAGGGTCCTCTGTTCTCCGACTCTTTCTAATACCTCTTCATTTCTAAGCTTCTCTATCCACGGTATCCTCACCATTCGGCTGTAACACCACATTTCGAACTCTTCTAACTTTTTCTTATGGCGCGCCCACCGTTCATGTTTCGCAACCGTACAGTGTCGTGCTCCTAACATACACATTTAACAACCTTTTTTGAATTTCTAAGTTAACCGTTCGCGAGCATAGAAGTGACTTCTTTTTATTAAAGGCGACACGACCCTGAGCTATCCTCTGCTTTATATCCCTACTACTCCTTCCGTCTTGACTTATCTGACTTCCTAGATATCTAAAGTCGGCCACTTCTTCGTCTCCTTACTTTATAATCGCTCTTTCCCTACTTTTTCTCCCCTAGCATACCAGTATTTTTGTTTTACTTTTATTTATTTTCATACAGTACTGTTTTGTCAATACCACTTCCATTTTATTTAGAGCTATCTCTAACTCCTCTTTTCTAGATGCTAATACTGTTATAACATCTTCTTGCAAGGTTTGTATTTGTTGTAAATGATAACGATGCAGCAACTGTACTGATAAATACTAAACAATAATAATAAGCAAAACATACAAAACAATTACAACACTGGTGCTGACCAGTTCATTGAATACGGCGTTGCATATCTCTCCTGAGCGGGAATTAAATTTGCCTGTATTTTCAACTTAATTTTCTTATTTTAAATACCCTACCACCTCCTAGGAGGTTATTATTTATTTCGGAAAAATCTGTATAATCAAAATCAAATAGAGCTTCTATACCTCGTAGAAGGGAAAAGAAATTGAAACTCCATCGTTTATGTTTCAATAACGTTTGACGCGAAATACTTTGTTGATTAAGCGAATTAGAATATGTATATAAATCAGTATTAGGGCTTAACTCTTCCACAAGCATTTGATCACGCATTGCAACAAGTATTCAAGTTGAAACGTAATTGCCTGCATATCTAGAAAAAAGGCCGCAGCCATTCACGCGGAGTATTTCCTAACTACGGATTTCACGATGGTTTTTAGTTTTAAATTAAAATATGCATAAAAAGCAGTTAAGTAAGTAAAAAATAAAAGATAACTTATGTATCAACTCACGCTTTACAACATCACAAAAGTTAAGTGCCTACTGTTACGTAAGCAGTGCACAAATATTAAAATTGAATTTTCCGTCGAAATACTTTATTTAATTTTCTTTTTACCATTTTTAGTATCGAACATAACAAACGAAATAGAAAATTTAAAAAAAAAAAAAACCGCCGATTTATTTATTTCATTAATTAAATTGTCTATAACTCTTTTGTTGGGCAATTTAGGTATATATAAGTGTTCAGAGGAAAGCTAACCCTTGAAAAAAGTCGTATTTTCTTCTATTATTCGTTTTTGCACGATAAAAATTAACCGAGATATCAATGTTCACCGATGTCTAGTGTTTATCATATTTTATTTATTTACCCTCTTTTACCGAAAACGTGTTTTTTTCAATTTTTTATAAAACATAGCATACTCACTGTTACACTTACAAAAATGTAGAAACCGAAAAGTGTGCTCTGTATTTATATAGGGTGTCCCAGTTATAATAATTAATATTTATACCACAGACTCCTACGGGCATTTGGAGCATAAAACTTTTGATTTTTGAAACAAAATAAAAAATTATAACAGTTTTGATGCCGGCCCTGCACAATTAATTACGATTGCCAGCTGATCATAGAAAAACTCACCTTCAGTAGATCGGAATCAGCTGCTTTTTGAGTAATGTTATTGTTTATGTTTGGTGTTAAGTTACGGATCAGGCGAAGAAAATGCACTCGCGTTAAGGCTCATTAGATGACTGACCATGTTAGAAAAACTACGTATCTATCACAATCGAAAATCCCATGATCGTAAATTAGTAGTGTTATTAATAGTGCATTCTAGTAGGGTTCTTATTCAACCGTCAGTTGGTGGTGAGTTATATTACCAATGCCTATCGTATAATTCAAAATATTCCCGGTATCTTGGCCCAAAATTCGCAGCAACCGGGTCCGCCGCTGTCAGTGTTGCATTGAAGCGAATGGCGGACAATTTCAACATTTTTTATAAAAGGTACGCCTTTCTTTTTCACTTTTACCTTTTTTTTTACAAAGTGGAAGTGCATTCGGCTTCTTCCCAATAGGTACTTGTTACATCCACACTAGATCAGCTGAGCGACGTTAGTCGCCTAGATCCAGGCCCGTAATAAAACAAATTGTACGTTCAAATTTACAAAAACGATTTGCGAGCTCAATTGTCACTGGATTGAAAAATTGTATAACACTTTTTTGTTGTATTGTGTGTCAGGAAGCCATGTTTTTTTTTTAATTATTATAAATGGGACACCCTGTCTAGTTATAGTTTATACAGACTATGTCGATGTCGTAAACACAATATTTCAGTAATTTTGCGGTTTACACATATAGTTTACAAATGATAAGCGTTATATTACACAAATTAGAGTAGGAAACCAGAGCCAATCAGCATTGTTAAGTTTAATTTAATCTAATGTAAAATCGACGCCAACGTTTCGTCTCTTCCTGTGAGACTTTCAAGGTTTCTAGACGCTAGAAAGGCGTGGGCGATGTTGTGCAACAGTGAAAAGCTCAAACCCCAACGTCAAAACACGACACAAACGTACTTTACTGAAGTGAATTCCAGTCTCCGATGAGAATGTAACTTTGCTACCGAAAAGTACTCAGGACGTTTAGTGTAGTGTAAAACATAACTCGATAAAGTTTCACAATGAGAGGCGAAACATTGGTGTCGGTTTTACACTGAATTAAATAAAGTCTTACAGCTCCGGAATTCTCTACGAAAAAATGAAAAGTGTATAAATTAGAACTGACCTTGAAATTTTTGATAATAGTTCAATTTTACTTTTAATACTGCAAGGCTTTAACAAATAGACAAAGTTATTCTACTTACATTTTTCGCTAGAAGTTTTCCATAGGTGATATGAGCTGGAATGTGGTCAGGTTTGGCCGAAAGGGCTGCTCGATACCATCTTTCGGCCTCTTCATCTTGTTGAAGGCGTGCCAAAGTCTCCCCCAAAAGATTAAAAACACTCTGGAACGAAATAAAATAAATTAGATGGCTTTCTGCCAGAAACTTAATCGAATTACCTAAAAACGCGACCTCCGCAAATCATAGACTAATTTAACTACGAGGCAACGAGATATATTAGCAACCGTCGTAATTACTAAGCACTAAAAATTAAGAAACTTAATAGCTTAAGCACTCTGCTCCAAGTGGGTGTTACTTGCTTAAGAATTTTTACAGATTATTATTATCTACACTGCTCTAGTTAAATACCTAAAAGATACGAAAAACATTTTAGAAACACAAGTCTGTTTCAGTAATTACTGTAAAATACTTAGGAAATCGAAATTCCATACAAATTGAGCTTTTAAATGTAATCCTTTCACATAATTACTCGAAAAATAGAAGATTTTCAGATAAATAACGGAAATAATGCACTGAAGTCTACAAAATATTAACAGATGAAAAATTCTCTGAAAAAATTCGAACCAGGCTTCGTATGCAATAAAATCGAGTGTTCCAGCATATCATCACCATCAGGCCGTCAATCCTAAGACTGGTTGGACACGCACCTCCACTTTTTCCTATCCTGAGATAATAGTCTCATTTCCCCAAAACTAGAAAAACCCACATCCTTAACTATTTGCGAACAGTAATCTAATCTAAGTCTACCTCTACTCCTCTTAACTCCTATTTCCGCCTCTAAAATGTCTCTGACTAGACCTTCATGACTAAGAAGGTGTCCTAACAACCTATCTGGCCTTCTCTTATTAACTTCCATAGAGTCCTCTGTTCTCCTATTCATTCTAATACCTCCTTATTTCTAACATTCTCTATCCTCGGTATCCTCATCATTCGCCGGTACTTTTATTTACTTTCATATACAGTTTTGTGAATACCGCTTCTATTTTATTTATAGCTATCTCTAACTCCTCCTTGCTAGATGCTAATGCTGCTATATCATCTGCAAATCGAAGCATACTAATCTTTTGCCCCTGTACATCTATTCCTACAGTTGTACTATCTTTAATGATGTTGAACGCGTCTTTGATGTATAGAATAAAAAGTAGCGGTAACAGTGTGCATCCCTGTCTGACTTCCTTCCTAATATTTACTTCTCTACGTTGCAGATCCAGCTCTATAACTGCCTGTTACTCTTTATACAAACTAAGTATCACTCTTTTATCTCTGTAGCTCATCCCCAACGTATTGTCCCATTTAACATTTTCATTTTTTTTTAAATGGCTTCCCGCGTTCGTCTAATTCTTCTAAACTGAATCGATCACCCCCTAATAGTTCGTCCGCCCTTTTTTTCATCCTTCTTTGTACAATTCTAGTTAGTTCCAACATAGATGGGTATTTTTTGGGACAGGGCGCTTGTATTCATGGTGAAATTGTCTTGTTTTGAAGGTACTCAGAAATAAATTAAATTCGTTGTTAAATTATAACATTTCTCATTTAGATATTTCCTTCTTGTTTTTTTATGTTGCCCATGGGCACAGGACTCCAATCGGAAATTTGAAATCTTCATCCATGCCGGTTGCTTCTCCAGTTGTTCAAATTTAAATTTAGGATTTAGTAAAGACTGTAATTGTTTCGGTACCTTCGCATAATTCTTCTAACTGTTCTGCTTAAGAAAGCAAGAGGAAATTATCCTGGTATATTTACCCGGTATGGATGCTTCCTGGGTCCACGTTAAATCCTAAGAATTATACAATCTGCTCTATTCACATTCCAAGCATCTTAATACACACAAGAATGCATCAAAGTATTTATTGTATAGAATTTTCTGCGATGTGGATGTTATAAAGAATTTCTAACCTATAACTTTTTAAACACAATTTTCTTAAGAAATTTGTTTACCAATGTAATACTTTCGCCTATTATTTTAGTATAGATATATGATTTATTAGATATATCCCCAGTGCAGGTAACGTGTGGTATTAGAATTTCAGAATAAGAAAATACCTATATCTCATTGGGAAATAATTTTATATCATACTAAACAGTGAAAGTAATAACTTTTGTATGTACTGTACGTCATTTATGGAATTTTTGACATTATTACTTAACCGCCTTTCAATCTGTATCATTAGTTTAAGTGCAAAATATTTAGCCTGATGGCAGTCTGCAGAAGCCACTCCATTAGCTGAATTGGTTTTTAGGGAGACACCGTTTTATTAATTATCCGTTGAAACAACGCTCCTAAAACGCAGAGCACAAAGATAAACTGAAATTAATAGAATATACTCCACGGTAGACGGAATCATTAAAGTATATGTAAGTTGCGAGACGTGTGAAGATGGAAAGCGTCTCTATTTGGCTATTATCATCAGACGCCACATTTGTCAAGAGGCAGCTGGTTGTTCTACAGTCTACAGATTGGTAAATTCCTTTCTCGGCGAGATGCCAGCTCTTGTATTGAAGAATAAATTCGCTCCTGCTATAAATTAAAATGCATAGGAGGAATTAGTGTTCGTGTCTGGATTATTACGCAAGTGACAGATACGTCTAAAAAGATTAGTCATGTTGGAAATCTCAAATGAAAGATTCGTTATCTATTGGCTGATGAAGATAACATCTACTAAAATTGAAATTGTTTCTCTCTATTCAAACGACTGTATTAATAATTAGTAGATTAAAAATATTAAAATATAACTCATTCTCATAGCCGCCTCGTTCCTACCCACGCTTCCCACTTCAGCGAATAGTAATTCTGCTTATGGCTATTTTCCTCTCCAAAGTCTGGCACTGGGAAGACACGGGTTCAATTTTAGATGCATCTACCTTGGTCCAAGGTTTTCCGTGGTTTTCTTGGATCATTTGAGCGAATAATTTATATTCCATAGGCATTATTTCGCTTGTACTCTGCCTTTATTTCACCCGTCATCCCCCAACCATTATTAAATCCATTCTCATAATTCCTTAAAGATGCTATAAAAACCCTCCTGCTCTACACCTGAGTGTAGGTCGGAGAGACAGTCCGTCCATCAGTGAATCCACTACAAAAATCAGTACAGTAACAGAAGGAGTGCGATTAATATTAGTTTTGCAGTAAACTATTCATTGTTAGATACACCCTCGTATCACCTGGCTATGGACTCTTCGGTCACAATCTCATAGTAGGTTGACGATCTATTAACTATAGAAATATTTATAATTGAACTTTGAATTTTTAAAACTTCTATATAATGTGTATAAGTATTTATATTACCTTGTACTTGTTTTGTGACGTTTCCCTTATCTACACAAAAATTCAAAAGACCAAAGTCCAATTACGTCACAAAATATTCAAAAGGTCAAAGTTCAACAACGTTGGGCAAACATTGGCGTGCTGCTCCACTAATTAAGATTACAAAAATTAACCGTATTCTAAAAAGGGGTGGTGGTAGTGACTGAAGAATGGCCTTGAAAGACTTCCAGGAAGAAGGTCAATAGAAGAAGGTTGTGGTCTACTTCTTCAGCATTGATCTTTAAACGTGCGAAATTCAAATTCCAATAGCCTCCGCCCACTATGAGGACAATCCAGAGGCTCTTAAGAAGTCCTCGTCAGCTGAAGAATGACCTCTAAGGTGTCTTGAAGATCAAACAAAATAAATTTTTGCAACCGGGGGCACGACGTTTCGGTCTTCCGCACGAAGAATGACCTCTAAGGTGTCATTAGACATTATGGGAAGCGACTGAGAATGGAGAGGCCTTCGAACTGTCACAGTATCCCTACAGCTATACTACTATCACTAATGCTTATATCTCTCCAAACCTAATCTAACCAAACAATAACGTCATCAATGCATATGCATCAGGCGATCGCACAGAACCGCGTAAACACAGATAACTCTGATTCTTAGTTTACTAACTTGTTTTATTCATTTTCTTCATAGAAAGCTTTAGTTTTATAAATTTCCTAGTATCTACAATATCGGAATTTCATACATTTCCGGTAACATATATATTTTCAAAACATTTTGCTAAGAAATATTTTATAAGAATGGAGGTTTTCCTTTTTATTATACCTATTTAAAACACTACAGCAAAACAATTAGAATTATTTGATTATGCACTAGCTGTTTTTTATTGTTAATCTAGAACCGCATCATGAATCCGGTAACATATGAAGTTGGAATGCGCCTTTTTTATTAATTTAGTAGCATCTCTTATTTGGTTTGACAAATATTTTCATTGCTCATAGTATGAGTATTGCCATGTATTCCATGGCAACAACAACACTAACTTCATGAGATGCTATTAAACCAATCACAACGCTCTATTTCAGTTGTGGTACCAAGATGTGTCAGATTTAAAACATGTGAACCGTGACGCTTAGAACTACAAACTAGAAATGAATTTGGTGCCTTAAATAAAAAAAGTAATTGGTTTTCAGGGAAATCCATTAAGCGATAAAATATGTACCTGAGGAGGATAGTGCTTCGGCAGGGAATGTGCCGCTTCTCGATAAGCGGCTAATGCTCTATGGAGCCGACCCTGATCGGAATAAAGAGCCCCTAATTGAAGAAGGGCTGATACACGAGCCGATTCGTGTTCTCGCCTGTCTTTTAAACCGTGGCCGTCAAGTCGGGACCCTTGACGTAACACCGATACAGCCTCTTGACATCTACCGGCGGCAATAAGTGCTGAACCCAAATTGACGTATGCCACTGTAACAAAAAGACATTACATTAAAATTTAGAATATCATGTATCGTAACTAACTTGAGAAAGTAGTTTTCTTTAAATGTATAAACATACTAAGTAATGTAGAAGCCTGACGCTTGAAGCTGGTGGAAATTTTAAAATGGCGTGGATGCGCATTGGCAAAAGTAGGCAATGTTAGGTATAATAATTACAGCCCTCTTTCTTCAGTATCCCTATCAGGGGCGTTGATTAAATATTTAAAAGAAGGGATCAGCTTACGAAATTAAATTAAAAAAATTAACTTATTCTGTTGGTTTTCTTGTTGTAGATATTTAATCGTCCGACATGTACCATACATTGAATTAAGAGTCTGGGTATTCCACGTTAATTAAAAAGTAGTGCGGAACAGTTAAAATTTTGGGCGAGCGAATGTTTCTTGTGTATGTATTACATACAATTGATTAAATAAAGACTATGCATAATAGTTGCGCATTATGTACATTATGACCAAATTGTACAGATAAACTAATTTACTACTTTATCTAAATTTTATTTAAAATGGCTAGTTGCAGTTGGTTAAAGTAATATAATAAATGAAATCCTACAAATGGCACGGTAAACGCCATCTGTAGTACAATGCTACATTTAGTGGAATTCGTTATGCTCAACAAGGTCGAATTTCTTTATTTAATATAATAAAATATACTCCAAAGTCAAATGAAGTCAAAAAGAGAGGGCATTACCAAGCAAAAACATGAAAAATATTTTGATAATTGTAATTTCTTTTAATCTATACAACAAATTTTCGGTTGCCTTAAGTTTTGTTTTATTTTTATTGTCTTCGCAGTAAGTAATATTTTCATTCTCAAGTTCATTGGAGATTAGACTATACATATTTGTGACTTCTCCTTAACTGTACATATGTCTGATCAGTATTTGAAAGGTAGCATTTGGATGCAGTGTAGAGTGAATCTCGTGATAGCGACACAATGTAGGGGATGCAAAAAGTATGCACAAAAAGTATCTCAGTTAACTAGCAAGCGTTAAGTGACGAGACACTCATACCTACTCGTGACCATCGCAGCAGCTGGTACACAAACAGGTCAGTTGCACGTGTGACTATCAGTAGTAATAGCATGCACTCCGTTGTTGCTATTCGATTAGCAAAGTTAGTGCTATTACCACAAATATAAAAATAAATTGACTGTGACAATATCAAACAATGCATTCGCACGCAGAGTGGTACAGTTTTTCTTTCATGTACTTTCTTCACCATTAATTTTTCCGTAGTACTGATCAGCCATAATGTAATATAAACTAAAACTTACTGTGTTTAATTACTTCATTCAATTAGCACTAGATGTTTTGTGAAATAGCTAGGATTATTTCATTATTCGATATTATGTAGAAAATATACAGGGTATCTCACGGTGACGGCCCATTATATCTCGGAAACTACTTTGATTTAAATTTTGAAAATTTGACCTATACCGTTATTGGGTATACTCTCCCCAAGTAAAATAATGACATCTATGTAACACTTCTGATTATACCGGAAGATGACATCAAAAAGGAGCATCCTCTATATTATGACGATAATGAGTTCTACTTACAATTTTCAGGCGTAGCTTATATCGTATATGACTAAATTGATGACTCCCATGCAATCTTTCAGAAACATGATAATTCGGTAATATAAAAATTTTATGTATGCAAAAGGATAAATACTCTTTGACCGGAATTTCAAACATTAAACGTTATCTGAAAAGTTACTTCCTGCAGAATTTGCAATTCTGTAACATTCCTTTTAATTTCAAGACAAACGAGCAAACTTTGGAACATGATAAACAAGAGAATAAAAATACCTGTAACAGTTCAGTTCCCCATTCATAACTAATAACGGAAGGAAATGTTTATGTAGAATGCAGTTCAATTGAACGAAAGAGAATTAGTAGTCTTTAGAACATGCATTTGTCGAACTCACTTAAAAGTTGTAAAGTTAAAAGAAATGGCAGACTTTTCGTGAAACGGCTTTATTCTGTTCCTGCCTCATTCACTTCATTTCCCGAAAGACTTTTTGAACCGGAAAGAAATTAACGGTGTGAATCGGAGAAAATGGGTGGAAGAGCTGTTAAACAACAACTAACAAAAATTCTATTGATTAAACTGGAACAACTTGAAACACTTCGTCAAGGAGTGATTAAAACTAGTAGGTTTTAAAGAAGCTTTATCACAACAATCGCATTTTCGTAGAAGCTTTGAAAACAACACCCTTGTGTTCTTATTGCACTTAAGAAACCGTTGTTTTAAGTTGTTTGCTTTACATACTACCAAAGTAAAAAAGGTTCGATAGTCTCATGGAGGGAGATGGGGGAATAGGAGGACTCCTGTAGATTGGCATTGAGTAATGTTTCTTCTGTCAACATTAAGAAAAAAAATTATGTCCTAATAAAAAGCTGCGCTTCCTGTACTAATTTTAAGGACGGTCAAATTCAACAACGCATTATGCGAATCATGTACGCTTTTGTACAATTAAATAAAAGCACACTTCACCACAGAATAAGATGGGAAAGAAAATGTGGAATAGTGGTAGGAAAAACATTTAAAGCGGCACTAAGAGGTTTAAAAATTAATCAGGAGCAGTTGAATAAATTAGAAAGAAACGGCTGGAATGTAGTAGAGTCGAAATACGTGATAGGATCAAGGAATATGTTATAGGATGATTGGCAGGGTGATTTAATACCAAAATATTTAGGAGAAAAAGAAATGAATATTTTAGCTAGATTCAGATTAGGAAATGAACGTAAAGGATGCAAGTATTGGCTGAAAAATGAAGATAGAAAATGTAGACTGTGTGGAATAAACGATGAGTAACTAATGCATGTGTTAGGTGGGTGTGACGAAAAAAAAATCAGTAGAAGAATATGTTGAATTGGTAAAAGTCGATGGAATGGGCTGATCCTATTTTTGAAAAATAGGAAGGGGAACATATGAGGAAATGGAGAATGGACATGTGGATGTTATTGAAAAAAAATCTATTTTTGTATAGTTTTCTTAGATGTATGTTTTATTGTACAAAGCTTATATATGTGTAGAAACAGTTGAAGAAATGTGTTTTTTTTTTGTTATCTGTTATTGTATGTATTTTCTTTGCTGTTTAACTTTTAAGTTTAAAGAATGCTTATATATATTAGTTCGTAGTGCCGATGCTTACGGAACAAATTTTGTTTTCGTTTAGTTTACGTATAGGTAGGAAGCAGAAATATAGATCTGAGCAGGCAATAACAATCCTTTACAATTTCGTTCATAACGATTTGCTCGAAGGGATATGTATCATCGGAATGCTCGCTGAATCTGTGGTTCTGTTTCAGTCTTTTATCTGTCACAGCAAATTTAACGCAATCGAAATCTATTTCCAACCCATTTCGTTCTAAAATTCTAAAGAACTCGTTTGGTTTGAGAGGAAGTAATTTTCTTTGTTCGCCATTCTGAAACCAACTTTGTTGTCGAGATAATTTTACTTTCGATTATCTATCACTTGCCCAGATTTCGTTAAGATTTCCTCCTTTTCTTAGTTATATTAACTTAGAATAAATGATTAGCCTAAAATGCATCTTGAAATACAGAAAGTGATAGAAACTGACCAAAAAAAAATTTTTTCTAACGTGCACACAAAGTAGAAACGCATTGATAACAATCGAAGAGAGATTTCAACGTTACCCCGAGTATGAACTAATTTTATGTCTGGATAATAGTTTTTTTACGTTTCTAATCTGAGGGATAGTCTAGTCAACTAGGAATAAAGGTTAGTGTATAGGTGTAAGTATTCCTCAGAAAATATTTTTAAGTACTTCAACGAGATGGTGCTCACAAATTTACAAAAATGTAGACCTCTGTATACATAATTCAATATTTACCTTTTCTTTCTCTCTCTAATTTAATTATTGAAAACAGAGCTATAGTAAGGGCTGTAAAAATTAAGGTATAAATAAAACAATAAATATTACAATTAAATAAAAAGAACGTTAAAATTTAAATCACGCAGTGGACAGGAGAACAATGACAATGACACTGCCTATCCACAACGTGATGGTTTAAATTTTAACGTTGTTTATCTAACTATAATATTTATTATTTTATTC